CGACATTCTCATTTCGATTGCTTGTTAACAGTGGGATTCATTTCTCTTCTTTTGCATCATCTGTTTTGGGTGTAAAGCAAGTGCGGTCTTGAGCTGAAAGGCTGGTGCGATCTCGCATTTTTGCTGGGATACTCACTTGAAAGCATGCCTGCACATTTGATTTTATGTCGCGAATTTTGCGGCAAAATATTTTGAATCACCAGGGCATGCACGTTGTTGTTACTAGACTGCACCGGTGCGCTCAACTTGTTGCTCCTTTGTACCCTTCATAGCTAAATTCCTTGAATTGTAAGCATAACCGAAAGAATTCAATGATAACTGGAAACTGAATCGCTATCATGCCTGGTTGGATTCGTCGAGCAGCTGTTATGAGCAGTTGCATTCAATTGAATTTGCATTCAGTGCATTGCTTTTCAATCCAGTCGCAGATGTTTCCGTTGCCAGTTTCTAAGTGCCAGAACATATAATTTCATAAAGCATCAATGGACTGACCTCACATGTTGTCACCTCATCATAACGCTTTCTGCACTAAAGCCAGTCTAAAACTCTAAAGCTTACAAACAAAGGGACGACATCATACTTACTGCCAGCAAGCATTGATTCCGTTAAAAAGTCAAAAGTGGACATTCCGTTATCCCTTCGAAAATCAACCTCTCCTTTACTACGGCAGTGCTCCGCTGGATGCTATATGGTTGCAGTGCTCTGATTCTTGGTTGCACTCCTTGTTAATGTTGCGTTATCGGTTGCAAGAGAGGGGAATGTTTATAATGAAATATGAGCCCGAAAACGTGCTCTACGGTCCTCAGTCACTATCAACACTTGTTGTCTGTATCATGCCCACATAGATGAATGGTTTTGATTTGATGGACACTCGTAAAACTTCCATGGTGATATTCGTGGTGAATCAACTTGAGTCACGATGCGGAATAAGCTGTGTAAAAACGCTCGAATGATTGCCTAATATCTTACGAATTCAGCCCAGCAATGAGCAAGCAGAAATGCTCATCAACTGCGACTGGATCAACACGACAGTTTATCGTTTTGTTGGCGTGTTGTATGATTGTGATTCTATCAGTGATACTGTGGTCAAGGTGTTGGCTGCAGACGATTTCAGTGTACACGAATGTGGTGAACGACTCGGTCTTAGTTCGTTTTCCATTCATTTTCGATTTGCTGATTGGTGTAGTATGAACTTATTAGGATGGGTTTATAGTCGCAAATCAATCGGAAAATCGCTTCCCACTGAATTTAATTGAATTTATGCGAGTTAGTAATATGTCACTTAGTTTTCAGTCTTCGTTGCAGTTAATTTGCAATTTCAAGTAGATCAAATTATTGAAGTTGAATAACTTGAAACTTGTCGCTTGCCTGATTTGCCTGATCAACTTCAAAACAACAAAAACGCTGCTACAAGTGCGTTCGCCTTGTTAACATTTAGGAAACTAAGGAGCTTTGTTAATGTTATTCCAATTTTTGGTTCCTTAGTTGAACATTCGTTGCAGACATCTGAAGAGCGAGATATTTTACTATCTGTTGGACATTTATTTCTGTTGCCTGTTGATGAGCTGTGGAAAAATGAAATTTGGTTTGCATCATTCGATATTCCAATCATGATGAAAAGCGGTCGGATAAAGGTGTTCCCGATGGAGCAAAGTCCATCGAATGATTTTGTAAAGTTTTACATTCACAATGAAGTGCGTGCAGTTCACGGGTAGGATTTTGATACATTTTGAATATTTGCTCAATCTAGTCCGTTGTTAGTATAAACTGATCATGATCATCAGACAACAATTATACTCGCTGAATTCCACTTTAGCACAATGCTTTTTTGGCTAATTTTATGAATCTAAACAAAATCTTCATGAGGATTTGTTGTCGTTCATCACTTCTCGCAATTCATAATCTATTGAATGAAGCTTTAAGTTTTTATGTTTTGAAGTAACGATAACTTGCATCTGACCATGTATTTCTTGCTTGATTAAGCAGACTTTCCAATATGATAGGCTAGTTTCCATTTTGATGCCTCTGCAGTTGATTACTTTTAGGTTACGTTTAACAATGACAATTTATGGTGGTGTTGAAGTGAGCCTCCCTTATGACAACGAGAAATTTTTGTGGAGCTGGAACAACGGCCGTTTCTTGGACTGCCTCGGTATGAGTATACCCTATGAAATAACTGAATCAGTTATTCCGAAAAGATTTGTGAAATCTATGAGCCAGTTTCGTGATCTCGTTGAAAGCTATGGATCACATTTGTTCCTTTTTGGTGGAACTCTACTCGGTCGGTTGCCATTTCACTGTGTTATAGAGCATTTGAGATTCTTGTTTCGTGCAATAGATTTGGTCTCTTTTGATTTGCAATACTTTGAGAGTGTTTTAACACAAAAAGAATGAGGTAGTTATGTATTGTCACTAATGACGTTGAAACATTATTCACACTCAAATTTGGCATTTTCGTTTATGAGCGTTGATACTATTGAAAATAAATTCATTAAAGCAGTTCCAATTAAGTTTTG